TTATTATTTATAATTCTGGCCGGAATTAGTTAATCTATATGACTTTATGACTTATGACATTTAGTCATATGACATATAACTATGAAGTCATAAAAATTTTTATATGACTATGTCATATGCCAACACTGGTTATGATATCTACAATATTAATTATAATATCTAAAATAGTTATAATAATTACAATATATATTATATGATATGGTATATAGCAATATCATAATATTATGCTATATATTAAATAAATATTGTGATGCTACTATAAGTTTAAATACTATTACTTATAATGTTGAAGAAAGATTATAAATAATGTTAACTTTAATATAATATTTGATTTATAAACAAATAATAGATTTAATAAAATAAAATTTAATATATTTTGAAATAAAACAGAAGCTTATTTTAATGAATAAGTAAGTTTTATATTTACTTATTTATTGGATATTTTTATTAAAAAATACTCTAAATTATTTAATTTATTAGAATTTATTAGTGATAAATAAAAGATATCATGAAAATATTTTATATATATTATTAGCTTTATATATTTGTGATCTTTGTGAAATTACAATAAAAAGATTAAAAAATTTTATAGTAATTCTCTTCTTTTTAACATTTATATTTTATCAAATAAGTGAATTCATTTTTAATTTATTCTACTATTACAACTAGTGTATAGAATCTATATACAAAATGTATATATATATGCATATTATTTTTTTAGTATACATATATTATATAATATAAAATATATACAACTAAAAATAGATAAATTACATATAAAAAGATAAGTTTATATAATGAATTGATATGATTTTCTTATTTAATAATATTAAATTTTACAACAATATGATCAATATTGTATATTAGCCGATTTAATGTAAAATTTAAGGTATAAAATCATTGTGCAACATTTTTTCAATATTTTAAAAATTTTGTATTCAATATCATTAATAGACTTACTTAATTTTAGCAGATGATAAACATAAGATTCTTATTAGAGAAGATATTACAATTTTACAAATATATAAAATCAGAATTTTATTATAATTCTAGATAATATTTTGATTACAAATGATAATAATTTTACTAAGCTTTCATTAACTTCAGCTGTTATATTTTTTATAATAATTTTAATGATATTTTAGAATCATTTATACAGGTCAGGTATTTGTATCTTATAAGGATACAATTTTTGAATCAAGTATTCCTATTAAACATTTAGTTAAATTTTTAAACGCACTTATTATCCAATACATACATCTTTTTTTTCTATTTCTTTTTTCTCATTCACCTTTTCAAAATAGTTGATTAGATATTACTTCTCATTTTTTTTTAGGTTTTTATGTTTAGGATCTTTGGTTTTTCTTTTTCTAAATTGTTTTTCTTTTCACTCTCTTGTTAAAGATTTTAAAATATGACATGTATTATATCTGATAATTGGAGGAGGAATACGACTAACAGAGTGTTCAAATGGTTTGAAATATGGGATGATCAATAGAAAAGGGGGGAAATCTACAAATTTTAAGCAATTTTAGTTATTAAGCTAGTTTTGTTCACATGACCATGATCAACAGATTGAACCAATAAAAAATTTTTGACTAAAAAGTGGAATTCCCCCTTTTCTACTAACCGCCTTCCGTATAACACAAGGGGTGTATTATCTTTATAAATAAAATTGAACTCTCTGAGTCATTAAAAAAAAAAAAATATATTTACTTAAGTTGCTATACAATAGAAAAGGGGAAAAAATAAAAAATGAGTTAATGCAAAAACTCGACCCTAAAATTGATTTTTTTTTCCCGTTTCCTTTTCTATTTTGGTATTGATCGACAGTTTCTTTTTAATTATTTCGAAAAAAAAAAAAAACACTCTCGCTTATTGTAGAGTTTTACTAAAATTAAATATTGTCGACCATATTTCAAAGACAAAAATAAAAAGGAAAAATTTTTTTTTTAAAAAAGCTAAAAAATGTCACAAAGTCGAGAAATAAAAGTTGATATTCAGGAAAACCAAACACAACAATCAACTCCCGATCTATTTCATCAACAAAAGAACGCTTCTCAACAAAACCCACAGCCATCAAAACGACATCATATTCGCCGATCATTCCATTCATATCCATCTACAATTCGTATTATGTATGGTCACCTTGTTTCACTTATCATATTTTTAGTTCGTCAATTATTTCGTTCGAATAATCTTCCTTTCTTCTTAACATTTATTTGGCATTCGTTCTTATTAAAGAGTCTTTTATTTTCCTCAAGAAATTATTTAAAAAGGTATACTATAGGAAAGGATAAAAGAGATATATCACACGCGATTTCTGTTGATGTTGTTAAAAGATTAGGTGGAATCAATTCATCATCGGCTTTATTGGCTTTATTGGCTTTGATAAGATTTAGCAGAGATATGACAGCACAAAAAGTTGCTTTATTGGTTTTGGCTATGGCGAATGGCACACAAACTTGGTTAGATTTCACATGTTGGAAAAGTGGAAGATGGAATTGGGCATTATTAACAAAATTTGGTGGTGGCAATGGTACAATTGCTCTTGTTAACATCATTGCTTATGGTGTTTCTGTTGCAAAAACTGGATCCATCTTATAAAATTTTAATTACCTTCGCTTATTATTACCTTAATCAAAAATGAAAACGTGAAATTATAAACAATATTTCTATTTCAAATATAAAATGACGGTACATCTTGATCCTTATTTAGTTGATTCTAGTATTAATAAAAAAAAAAATCCTTGAAAAAATAAGCGGAAATTCTAAATGCTTGATTAATTAAATTCTCCAAGAAGCTTAATGTTCATCATCATCTTTTGTCTTAATTATTAAATACAAAAAAAACCCGTTCCGTTTCATTTTTCATTACATTTTCATTATTTTCATTCCAATTTTCTAGTCATTTACACTTACCACTTAATTCTATAAATAGCAAATATTTTAACCAAAGAAATTCCTTTTTTACATGCTTTTTTAATCCCGTATAAATCTTCGATAACCGTCTTTGGTGGATACACATGAAAACGTCTAAATCCAAATATTATATCTCCAGGTCGAACAACTATAGTTACCATTAAGTGTTTGGACGATAAATCCTTGGATGACAAACTTTAGCAAATGCCTGTAAAATTGAAGGAAATCAATCACATATCTATATCTCATAATAATTAAGATTTTATAGATTTTATGAACCCTCAACTTACAGTTAAATCTCGAATAAGACTATCAACAACAATTCCATTTGTTCCCTTGGCTTTGACGCGTGCAGTCATTAATCCTCCCCAAGCTTGCATTCACTGTCTAAAATTTAGAATATGCGGTGATTATAGACGCATGTGAATTTTCATGCCGCAAACCTTACTGGGCCTACAATCTTAAAGTATTTTGTAATTTTTTTTTTTTACTGCCGAACTTAACTTTCATTTGTAAAGAAATTAATGATTTACCTTAATTGTACAATATCGGAACATTTAATTCATCAATGCATTAGCCATCTGTAAAATCTGTAAGAAAACTATATTTGTTTTGTTTATAAGTATGAAAACGAGATGATGAATAATTTATACACATAACTCGCGAATTCTTTTAATGTACAAAATTTTTCGTATAAATTTATTCCTTTCATCTTGCCTTTAAAAAAGATTTTATAAATTTAAATGAATTTAAAAGGAGATTTTATTTATTTCGTTGAGTATTAAATATAGAAATTCTATGTATATTAATTAGCCAGCCAATTGATTTTTTCCAACAGTTTCCCTTCTTTCTATCGCAAAGGTCCCATATATACAAGCGAAATAGATAGAAAAAATACATGAAATAATATCATTTTTAATTTTTGAAGCTAATTATTTTATTAATAAATTATATTATATAATATATATAATTTTTTGGATAAATCTAATTGTTACATCATGTTACGCGTCTTATTTGTAACAACCTCAATTTGATCCAATCATATCTGCCGATTATTGGAATTGGACCTAATTCTGGATCCCCAATTTATTATTAAATACATGCAATCATTGTATATGTCAATTACTCAACTCAACTTCAAAAACAACCTGAAAAATAAAATTTACTAATTGTTTTCGCATCAAATCTATCTCCTCTTTATAAAAATCCATCTCTTTAAAGGTAAATTTAATTATTATATATAAAGTATATTTAGCTTAATATTTATCTTTTATTCATTTTTTATTTAAATAATATGAATCTAAATATTTATTTTCTCTCACCACCAGTAACTCTAACAGTTCTTGATTTAAGTTTTGAGTGTAATGTATATAAAAAGTTTAAATAAATATTATCATAAAAAAATACCTTATATACAAATGTTGATACTTTACCTAAAAATATTATACATTAATTTAAAGGTATTTTAGCCTATTATATTCACAAATGATTGCTAAAAAAAAAAAATATAAACAGATGGATAAACAAATAGTTTTTATTCTAGTTATTAAAAGTCAATTTTATACAATGTTAAAAATTATATATATCATTTACTGGTCGAAATCAAAACTCTTGACTATATGACAAATAGGCCAAGTTTCAGACAGTTCAGTAAGAAATTTCAGCTTAACTTTAGCCAAAATTAACAATCGACCAAAATTCAGCCAAAATATAACTTATAGCTGATCAGTTATTTTATATTGAATTTTTGATGTTAAAGAATTCAGTAAAATAATATATCAAATTTTTGACAAAAATAAATTTTAATCAATAAATTTTAATCAATAAATAATTTTATAAAAATTTATTTGATGCTGATTGTAATACAATTTAGTGAATGTTAAGTTTTTGATTAACCAGATTTACAGCCAAATACTCCTTAGAATTTTTCCAAGATAATAACTTATACTTCACAGGAATGAATCGGTTAAGGATGTTGTGAACTAGAATAATACAATCCTGACTTCAGAATAGGAACTAGTATTTCACAACTCAATATTACACGATCTTTTCTCATTATCAATGCTGAAATGAAATCTAATATTAGCTGAATTCATGTGTTGATACCATCAAATATAAGCCAAATGGTGTTTTTTCGATCTACTCAGTAAATCAACTGTATGAATAAAAAAATATTAGATCTGTTTCAAATAAGTATCAACACTATTACCATTAGTAACAAATTTCATTGAAACAAATGAACTATTCGTATGTCATGCTGATACTACAGATCCAAAGACTTCTGACCTGATTTGGCATCACCTAAATTTGTTAATTGAAACCTGAATTACTATTGAGTCTTCCGTACCTACTCTAAATAGCTTTCAAAAATTAAGCGTTTCATATATTGCATTATAATATTCTGCCATCAAATTAAGCATTGAGCTTGAAAGATAAATATTTTCAGAAGCCAGTTTCAACATATTTTCAGAAAATGGCTCACTATCACTAATTCTTGATTCCTGGATGTTTCTTAAGTTAAGTCAAAAATGATGCATCTTATCTGATAAGAATTGATCCATTTCTAATAATGAACTGATAGAAGACCGATTATTAAGTAGTTTGAGACCCTTTGTCAGTATTTAAGAACTTTTTATGTCACTAATTCAATTATCAATTGTCAATTGATGCATGATTTCTGGTTCAATTTGCCGATTACTATTTGGCAAAGAACCTAATATAAAATTTTAAATTATTAAAAAAATAGTTTTAATTAATCCAAAGAAAAAGCAAAATTTCTGACTTACTTAAAGTGCCATTCATGCATTCAAATGAAAAGCATTAGAACATCTACATAAGTGAAGTGAAAGGTGAAGATTCAGAATCACTTTATTTCAGCCGTAATTATTTTCAATTAATTTAACAATTTCAATTAATTTTTGGTGGGTTTCTCTTATTAGGTCGACTTCTATAATTCAGCTCACTAAAATAGCACAAACTCTTACAAATATGTAAGAATTTTCTGATCTTTGGCTAGAAGGTGCTTCCAAAGTGCAACTATAGCATAAATGGCAAAAAAAACTTACCATTGATCAGCTGTAAAATTGGAGAATCCTTCTTCACAGTTGATTTTGTCTGGAATTTGAACCAAATCAGATGGAACATGAAACTCGTCCATCTTTGCTTGAATATTATTAAATTCTACTGGTGTTAGTATTTCCTTGTTGACCCATATTCATTTAATGATCCATTTTGCAATACCTAAAAACAGGCAATGCATCAGATTAATAATAATGAAATGAATTAGGTTAAAATATAGTAGGCGAAATAATTTAGACTACCTTACACCAGTTTGTTTCACAATCATTTTCTGGCAGAATCTGACTTGTAATGTTTCTATCCAATTGCATCTTGATGATGCTTAGCTAGATTCTGAGTGATGAACTATTCATCTATGTTATCTATGTCAGCGAAGTTATGCTAATAATTTAAAATTGACCTTCTTTTCGCATCTATGACATGAAACTAGAAGTCTGAATCGGTCAACAATTTCAATTGTTCATAAAATTTATAATTGACTATTATTCAAATTAATTATTGATTAATGACGATTATTTAAATTATCCAGATCATTTGAATAATCAATTAGTTGAAATAACTAAAATGTTAATACATTAATTAAAACAAAAAAAATATATATTTTGAACTTATTTTTATTATTAACAATAATAACAGATTATATTATATTAATTATTCCATTATTTTTTGCTAATCATTATAATCAGATTTTTTTGGAGGAAACTATATTAACATTATTGTCAAATAGAGATCAAAATTCTTTAACCGGTTAATAACCAGTTAAAAATATTCGTTAATCAGTTAAAATTAACTTATGCCAGTACTATAAATTTAGCTGGAATTGAAAATATTTTGCAATCATAAAGATCTTAATTCTTGTTAGAAATTGAATTTCAGCCAGAGCTAAATTCATCTATTTTAACCAGTTAAAAAAAATCATTAACCAGCTAACATGTTAACCACTTTAACTAGTTTCAATCTCTATCATCAAATAAAACTTTCAAAATTACTTCTTTACTAAGAAACATCATCATTATAATTTACATCAAACTCATTTTGTAAAAAAAATTTGAACGAAAAAATATGAAAAAAAAATTTTGAAGTTGAAATGAAATGTTTTTTATTTTTATTTAATTAATTTATATGTTGCATGCTTATTTAACAATGGATTCAAAATATTTGAATATCTGATTATTCAGTTATCTATTCATAAGTGATGATAATCGATTAAATGACCAACTAGCTGATCAATATTTTCGTTTAATTAATTATCATAATCAGTTGGTCAAATTCAGATGATTTAACTACAGATTAAATGATTCAGATCTCTATATAAAACTAATGCTGATATATAGCTGCATATTTTTCTGGCAATAAAAACATTATATGAAGTTAGTATCAATGCTGCTTGAATGTCTCTTCTACTTTGATATTCAAATGTGCGATTTAAAAATATTCTAACTAGTGTTGGTCACCTTTATAAGTCCAGTTATTTTTGACTGGACTAGGATCATAAATCTAGTTACTGGAAATTATAAGTCTAATAGTCTAGTTTTATAAGTCCAGTTAGTCCAATTTGGTCTAGTTGGCCAATACTGATTCTAACCTAGAGTTTCTTTAACTTATTAACAATCAGCGTAAGGTAATAATTTATTTTGTGTAAGCTAACTTTATGTGGTTCTGGTAAGAGGCCAATTATCAACAAATTTTCACGTTTAAATTAGATATCGCGTGACAAATTACATATAATATCATATATAATGCCAGTACTATACATTGTACTTTCATATGGCTGAAATTAATCTAAATTGAACATTAACCTAAGATGTGAATCAGCCATGTCAGTTCAGAAAAAAATAGATGAGTTTTCATTTTTTAATGTTTTTCAGACTTGTCTGTCATATACGTCAGCTAAAATTTGGTTAAAAGATGTCCTATTTACCTAATAGCGTAATAAATTTTCAAAACCTAGACGACAATATATAGATGCCAACTGTTGTTGAATACCAGCAAATAGATAAATTAGAATTAGTTGATTTGAAATCTGACTGTTTAACAATCTTGTTGGTCAAGATAAAGCTGTTTGACATAATTGTGTTCTGCAATTTTTCGAATTTAAATATTCTATATGGCGATATTTCATGATAGCAGATGATTCTCTCACTTCTTATTTTTTGTATAATTTGTGGTATTTCAGATATGCCGCAAAGCTATAAAATTAGTCCTTAAGATCAAATGCCTTTTTTATAAGATATAAGGTATCAGAAAACTCATTAAAATCAGCACCTCCAATTTCTTTTAGCACCAATTTCATGAATTTAAT